CCCATTGGAGTTTTTAAAATATATTTAATTGACACATTATAATTGTACATGTTTATGGGGTACAATCTTCCCACCTTAAAAGGAAAGTAACTTTAAAATGAACAATCCACTCTTTGTTCTTTTGTTTCTGCTTTTTAGCCCTTTTTCTGTCTATATAACCAACCTCTTTTGCTCAACTCATTGGAACACAATTCTATGTTATGGGATAAAATGTTGCCCAATTCTAGAATCACAATAAAGCCAATTGAGATCTTTTGTTGGTTAAAAAAAAAAAAAATTGAATTTAAAATCACTTGATGAGCTGGTTTTTTGTTAAAAAAAAAAAAAAATTAAAACTATATTCCCTATAGAACTGTGAACATTTCAGAGCGAGTTCTGCATTCAATGTAACTCAGCATCTCCAGGAGCAGGGTTCAGCAAACTACAGCCCAAGGGCCAAATCCAGCTCACCATCTGTTTTGGTAAACAAAGTTAATCAGAACAAATGTTGTCATACTCATTTATTTACATACTATGTATGTCTGCTTTCATGCTATAAAGGCAGAGGTGAGTAGTTGCAACAGAGACCATATGTTCTGTAAAGCATAAAATACATACTATGGAGTCCTCTACAGGAAAAAGTTTGCCAACCCCTCTCAATCTGCTTAAGAGGTATAATTCTCTGACTGATAAGCATGGAACTGATATTATATGTTGATTCCCCATGTTCTGAATAAAAATATTTGTAAAACTCAGACTAGCCTTGCTACAAGAACCATCTCTGACTGGTTTCTGGGACTGATAAAGTGTGCCTAAATGACTCAACCAACTAAAATAGTAATTGCTCTTACCCAAGATTGGATGCCACAGTCACTTGTAGGGTATATAAACATATATAAATCTTGCCACACGTTGGTTACAGGACATCCATGTCCCAAAAATACCTCATCGGAAAGCAAATACCAATCACCAATTACTGGTGCTTTAAGTTTGACGTGAAGCCAGTTGAGACTACATTGTACCTGAAGGGCTGAAAATCCAAAGAGAACATGTCAATATACTTGTGTCCTAAGGAACAACTCAGAATTTTACAAGGCAACTATAAATTGTCTTCTTTATCTACACAGACAAAAATGTATCTTAGTCCTAAGAGAGATCATAAAGAGAATCAGAAGCAAAGCACCAAGGTAAGAGGACCAGGGTCTAGGCAGCAGGAAATTGAGCAAGAAAGAAGTCAGCAAGGGAGAAGTTTCTCCAGGTCCAATTGCTCCAGCCAAAGTCCTCTGTAAATATTAAAACTCACACAACAGCAGGTAGGGAAGCTCAATCTGGGACTCCTACTCCAAGCCAGACCATCAAGAGGCTGAAGTAGTCCCAAAGCAAAAAGAAGTTAGGGAGAAGTAGAAACAAACTCTCTG